GAAACTTCCTGTATTTTAAGAGCCCTCGAGGAATTTCTCATCAGAGAATGCCCAGTCTGCCCTTCAACCTGTGCAAAAACCTTTTGCATCCCGCAAAATCCTTTGGCAAGCAGTTCTGCCAGTCTACGAGTAGGCAGAGCCACATCCTTTCGTTTGCTCTGTGCCTGAGCCTCAACACTTCTTATCGTGGCTCCTATTCCTTACAATTATATGAGACAGCTTTACTTTTGCACAGAGCATTCCACCAAAACCGTCCCAGGAGCCCCATATCTTCATTTCTTTCTAATCTGCAGGCAGATAGGGCACCCCTCACTTCTAAGGAAGATTTCTTCACAGTTGTTTCAAGTAAGACGAGCTTTTCTCTCAAAAAAGCTAACGTTTTGCTAGTGCTTTCAAAAAATAGGCAAGGAACACCTTTCCTTCACAAATACTTAAAAGGAATTTTTAAAAGTGTACTACTTCATAACCCTGAGATGATTTACAAAGTGCAATACAGTATGCATATTAGTGTATGAACAGTCACACTGGTTGTTATTCATATCTGCAAATCGAGGAATGAATGAACAGGGTGGACTTGGCGAGATGTTCTCCTTGACTTTTTACCATATTGATTCGCTATTTAATAATTCAAAGGCCTCACAAATTTGCAAAGGATGTCTCTTTGTTGCTAGGGCCATGTATTAAGATTCTTCTGTACTGTTTTAACTACTGAACTCCACGTTGTACAAGAATAAAAATTCTTTCCACGCCAGTGAACATCAGCTTAAAGCTCAAAAATCCAGCATGCTGTTTGGTTCTTCTTTGGTCTGTTTTTAAGGAAGCAAAATGAGTCTAGAGGCCATTTATTCCCTTGGAGCAGGTAAGTTCTGCTCAAGATCTTGTTTACATTTCCCTATTGGCAGCTACTTAGGCTGTGATAGTTGGTAGAAAATCAAAGTGAATCCATGAGAACGCTGTCTTAAATGTCTTCTCTGCTCTAACAGAGGTTCTAAAGCACTTCAAAAGCTGTATAAGCTGCACTAGAGCCCCTCAAACCATTCTGGATGAATTACTATGTATACCTCTCTTCTGTAATGCTCCAAACTATGTTTAACTTACTTTCTGAAAATACTCGGATGTCAACTTGGTATTTCCTTAAGGGCGTATAACTACACTACTAGAGCCAAGAAGTGAAGAATACCAAAGCTACAGGGAACATACACGCAGAGCAAGCTTTACACTGGGGTCTGCATCCCAGGAGGCTCCAGCTAGTGTCTCACTTCACTATAAAACGTCACGAGATGTCTGAGGATTGTAAGTGGCCATTTTGGCTCTGAATATTCAGTAGACCTGGAATACGCGCTGGCAGTGATTCCTATTACTATGCAGGAAATTTGGTTCAGAAAAAGGAACAAGTGTCACTTACACACAGCTTCTTGCCATATCCTAGTGTTTTCATTTAAATAGAGCGTATAAAACCATGGTGGTGGGATTCCTGGAAGTCCTGCCACTTGTCATCCCTGTGCTCTGTCCTGACATCAGGATGGGGCAAACTGCTCGCACTGGTTAAAGCTGGGTCACGTCATGTTAGACTGCACATACATAAGCTGGGCCTGTGGTGGGATCTTCAAATGCTCTTTCACGAAAGGGTACAGCCAAAGCATTGAACAGGAGCAGAAGCCAGGTCTGCATAGATCTTCATCTGATCCGTGTCAGCTTTGACCCACAGCAATTGCATAGACCTATGCCAGTTTACACCAGGCGATAGTTGGCCTGTTGGGCTTCAATAGGAACATCTTCCTGCTCAGCCTTGCCTTTCTGCTGCTGCAGTTCACTACGGAGTGTTTGTAGCACCATAACCCCTAGCCAAAGAAATGAATGTGATGCCACAAATTTGCTACGATGCCTCACTTCAGGATCATGCAAAACAGGAGCTGGCAGGGAAAGAACATTTGCTCACACAGACAGCTTTGATATTTACCAAAATGGCAAGAAATTGTATGAAAGACAAGACAAACAAACAGGTTTGGGAATGTCATGTGTTTTAAAGTTGTCTGCAATGGGAGAATGTTAATTTAAGATATACTGTCCTGAAATAATTTCTATTAAGTATAGGAGTCTGTTGGCTACCAGACAGCTCTGCGTTAAAAAGGAAAACTTGTATCTGGTAAAGATGATTCGAATCAGCAGTAATGTAACATACTGCTCGGCGTCTCTTTTGCAGACCAAAAAGACAAGTACCCGTGCCTGATGTGAACAGCTGTGCTGTCTCGCCAGAGGACTAGAGCTCAGCTTACACGTAGTGGAGCCCTAGTCAGAGAGTTACCAGGAGGAACGCAGCACAGTCCACTCCTTCCTACCCCAACGACTCTCTGCGGCTGAGTATCTTAGAGGGAATTGCAAATTCGAACAAATTAAATGATACAGTCATCACCCTCTTTTTTATGGACGGGGAGAGGAATGAACAGAAAGCCGAAGTGGCCTGCCCAGAGGGTGCTCAGTCAATGCATAGCAGAGGAAGGGAGAGAAATCCAATCTGATTATGAATCTGGTGCTATAGCCACAAGATCATTCGTCTCATCCTGATGCAAACGCTATTTAACACGAAAGCTCCTTTGTGCAAAGGGACATTAACCAATAACAATCTTGCCCAACAAGGGGAAGTAGCAAAGTTTCTCCCCGTGCGGAGTTGTGAGCCTTAGAAAACAATATTGAAGAAAAAAACTGCTCCTTAAAACCAGGGTGTACTGGATGGCAAAACCTTAGTCCCTGCATTGCAATGAGGGCCACAGATTCGAACACTCAGATCCCAGTTACCACTCAGTTGTGATAAAGTCCAACTGGCATGTAGTGGAGGTAGTGTTTTCTTTGGGCAATGAGATATTAAACTCAGAAACTGTCAAGTTTGAGAAAATGTTGTGCTGTGTTTGTTATGGGTTACTAGCAAAACAAAATCTAGAAGAGATTGGAGATAAGATAATCGTTTCGGGGCTGCATTTGATATCAAGGATGTGTTCTATTAAAAAGGCTTTTTATGGAGGAAAAACGAACCCTCCCAAATCTCACGAATCCCATCTCCATTGTGTCATCATACTGAGGAAAATGTTGACTTTCCAAAGGGATAGGACCCACAGCTGAAATTTTCAGCTCCCAGAGCATGCCTGGCCACCCAGTAGCAGCAAATCCCCAGCGTGCATCTCCAGGGGCTCTTCCTCCCTTGGACAGCACTAGAGGTTCATGTTTTGGTTAATGTCGCAGCTGGAGGGTTTCACTATTGCTCTGAGAATCATTAACCACCTTGTTGTGATTTTTAGCTTGCATTCCCAAGAGGCCATGCTGTATTGAACAGCTGCTCCTGGCTCCTGCACCCCTCAGGAGGGCCATATTCCAATTTTTGGTAGGGCCGTAGCTGCATTTTGTTTCTGCAGAGGGCTTTCTACTAGACCAAAAAAGGGAAGGAGAACAGAGCAAATGCCAATCCCTTTTACTCCATTTCCTTGGGGGGGGCTTCATTCTCCTCCCCACAGCTAAGGAGAAAGTCTGGCCAAAATCTAACATCACACCCGTCTTTGTTGCATAAGTGACTTTCCAATATCCGAAAGCTCTGCAGGGCACGCAGCCATAACCCCGTGACACTCCCAGAACTGGTGCGCTCGAGCACTTCGTAACCATGGAAAACACCTTTTTGTGTGGCTTTTATGAAACTCTGGTGGATCTGCACTTGCTATTTGTACGCTAATATTTAATTAAGAAAAAAAATAAACATAGATGAAAACGGAGGGCTGGTACTGATTGACACACTAAACTCGCTCCGAAAGGCTAGGAACTTCGGTTTGTTTTTCTCTTTACGTGGCCAGCCACTTCCACTGGCTTAGGTAGGTAAGTAACACTTTTCTTTAGGAATAATTCCTATAACTTACTTTTCAGTAAAATCTGGCCCTAAATTAAATTACATTCTTCTTTACAATGCAGTTCGCTATTATTCAACACCCTTGTTCCTTATCAAAAGGAAGATGCATGCCTGAATATGTACAAAACTATATGTTTAGATATCAGCCCAGCTAATTAACAAACAATAATTATTTTCCTAATCTTTTGTTTAAATACCATTAACTAGCTGCTCTTGAGAAAACCTGGATTTCCAATTAATGCGGCAGCTGTCTGCTGAACAGCGAGCCGCAGTGACCAGCCCCTGTGCTGATGGCGATCGGTGGTGGTCTGCTAACTTCAGCGGACAAATGCCAATTTTTATGCCAGCTGAGAATCAGGCCAGACACTCATTTAGCTTGTTTACATGATCACAGTATCACAAAAATTAAGTATTAAGATAACTGCTGAAATGATGTTGGGTATTTTTTTCTTTCAGACATCACACACTGCCAGTAAATTGAGTCACAACTGTAATGACAAATATACATTGACCTAGTTTCATTTTTCCCAGTTCTAAAAACAAGGAAACAGCAAGGCATTGCTGACTATATTCAGTGATAACTATGAGTAAACATTAACCTTTTAGATTCCACCACTGAATCTTATTGATAGGACTTAACAGACGGTATCTCCAGTCAGAAAGTGTCAAAAACTTCCTGATAGCACAAGTGTTGGTCTAAGCTCTGAAAGAGGAGTAGAAGGGAGGGAATGAATCAACTTCTTAGGTCAACAAAAAATTTGCTGACCAAAAGTACTGATTCTAGAAGATCGTGTTCACGATCTTACCAGACTGTCTCATACTAAAACCCATTTTAATTTCTAAGCAAGCTAGAGTATTTTGCTTAGTCTGCAAGAATATGCTATTGCGTAGCAGAAGGCAATGCAGAACTCGGAGAAATATCAGACATTACAAATGTCCCATGGAACCTGTGCAAATCTCCTGAACGGTATATGAAGCTTTAAAAATGTAGGTTTCACATGCTCTGAATAGCAAATACCTCTTTGTACATCAAGCAGTGGTTGCGTATAGCATTTAAATAATAAGCTTGAAAAGCACACAAAGGGATTTGCTCTTTCGATTAGATTGATTTTTGTTTGTGGATGTTATTTGGACTCCCTTCACTGTGGAACAAGTCCCCTACAGTTGCCATTAAAGCACTGAAAGCTTCCCTTTTGTTTTGAAATGTCAGTTTGAGCATAGCTTCATTAAATCATTTCACAATTAACTCCCTGATCATCCAGACTTTTTTAAAGCACCAAACCCAGCTGAATCACATTTGTTTCCCAGCACAGTGAGTCCAAAGTGGTATCCCCAAGTGTGTACGCAAGAATTTGTATATTTGACTTGTAGCTACACAAAATACATATAGGAGCTGTGTGGGTGGTGAAGAGAGGATTAAAGCTTTCTGCCTGGGCTTAAGAAATACCATAGCTTCTTGCCCAAAATGCAGGGCTCGGGAACCAAGTCATAAGGGAAAGACGTCTAGGTTAATCTAACAAGACTTATTCCCAAAAGAACTATAAGAGAAGTGAACTCAAAAGAGTTGTTAGTTTAGCCCGATATGTATAAGAACTAATCTTTTCTGCGAGGGCCTCTGTCTGATTTCCATCTAAAGCCTATCTTGAGATACAGACTAGCCTCCTCATGACAGTACAGAGGGTTTCAAAGTCCGAGGTCTGTGTCTTAACTTAGCTCCTGGCCATGATTTCTCTCGTATGTGATTATGTGAAATGCCGCCAAAACTGGAAATAAAACTGAAACCTCAAGCTAACCCTTTCTTCATTAGTATAACAAGCTCAGAATTTTGTCCATCATATACAGAGCAGAGAGCTCTCCTACCCCCCAGAGCTAGTCCATCTGCCGATGTGGTCTCGGCTGCGAACAGAAGATACACGGTGACCCCAGCACGTTGCGCACTGCCGTTAGCGCATGGTTCCCGCAGCGGCTATACTTACTCGGAGAAGTGGGAGAGGTGGCCCCTCCTTCTGTCGATGTAGTTGGAGGTTTTGTGTCTGGCACTGGCAGAGGCACAGGCCTAGCCATCGGTGGCGGAGGTGGTGGTGGCAACATTGGGGTGGGAAGGAATGGATTGTGCACCTTGCCTTGGCTGCTACCATTGGGCTGCCAAAAAACAAGCAGACAGACAAGAATTATACTAAAAATCAGCTATTAGCAAGCTCTTATAACAACAGTCCAGCTTAAAACTATATGCAAAATAGTTGAAATTACTTAAGAAAAGAGATGACAGAGGAAGTGCTATGTCCAATTCTCCACTGACTTCAAGGGACTTTGTCCCAAACCCTGTGAATCTTGTGAAACTGTGGAAATTCTCACTTTTAGAACATTTATCCTATTAGCAGCTGGTTAAAATTATTCTGGATTAAATTCTACTCTTATTTACATTTCCTGCAGCTACTAAGTCTCACTCAGTGAGAGTTTAAGCAGTATTTTGGAGCCCTTGCATTTCCTACTGTCCTACCTCTATTATATCCTTAGGATCTTAGTGCCTGGGACTGGAGTGTAAATTTCTTAAAGATCCTGCTCATTAGGAGGAAAAATAAGCATTTTTGGTGGTCTTAAAAGTCGTGCTGATATCTTATTACAGGAAAAATGAATGCGTATATATTAAAGTAACTGCACTCCCACATCCCTTTTAAGTTAGCAATAGGACAGCTCGCAGTTTAGTTGCCATTAGAATTCTATGGAGAAACTACTGAACTTTGAACTGCTTGATTTTACATATTAGGAAAAAAGAAACCCTCCCTGTATTTAGTTTGGGATGTGCACAATCACAGGCAGAATGGGCCTAGCTATACAACTGTGGTCTTTCCATTGATCACCAGCAAAACCTGTCCATTTGGAAACATGTTTTCAAGTATCACAAAAACAAGAAGCAGGCTTTAAAAAAAAACCCAAAACAAAAATCACCTCAAACTTGGTAAATTTAAATTTCAATATTGCCTGGACACTTGAAAACCATGCAGATAGATGCCAAGTACCATTATAAAGTGAAAGTAGGACAGTTTGTGAATCATTTTAGTGACAAAAACGATGAGCTCGCTTTCGACAGCACTCTACAAATTGAACTCACTGCAGTTTTTCTGGCACTGAACATTCTGCATTTTCCACTGATGATAAAAGCTCAGTTTTACATACAGATCTATATCCTAAGTACTGCTGAAGAAAATGATATTTTAATTCTTGTTAAGGTTTCCATTAGCCTGAATAACCGGGGACAAAATACTCACATTGGCAAACACTTGGGACCTTATTTTCATTTCACCTGCTTTGGCACTGACAAAAGGCCTCGGAGTGGTGTAGGTGCAAATCACACTTGCCAAAGAGCAAAAATGGTTTTGGGCATAAATAAGACTCAAATTCATCTGCATTTAACTTAACAGCACTCCACTCCCCCTGACTTCAAAGACTGCAGTAAGAAGCAATCCTTCAGGGATATTTATTTTTCCAACATCCAGTACCTTTAATAAACTAATATATTAGTGACATCTCTCAAACACTATCTTGTCTCACAATTAGGTCACTTTCCTGCCAAGAAGACCCCTGCTGTATGTTCATTGTGAGCGTGCTAACAGTTCATAATGCTGAATGGTTTGGGATAAATTAAGCAAATGAATACTCAAGGAAAAAGAAAAGCACTGTATTGATTTGTTGTCTAGACATAAATGTATCTGCTAACATATTGCAGACATTATTCAAAGCCAGTCCTGGCTGGAGTAAGTAGAGCTCAGTTTTTCTCCTAGGGAGAGGAAAGCACTGAGGACAATATAGCTTATTAAATAAGTGTAATAAATTAGATGCTAATAATTAAACTAATTCTCATTAACACTTTCAATCGTATGCATGTCAGGAAAGAAACAGTAATTTTGCCAGTTATTACTTCATTGGCTGGAAAAAGTTACATGCATTACACTTCATGAAATATTCAGAGCATTATTTTAGAAATGATTTACATAAAATTTATAAATTCTGTATTTGACTGGAATGCTATTTCAATAATAGCAAGATGATTCACTTTATTTGATTAAAAAAATGAAAATGGCTATTTGAAGCTTTGGAACTCTGCTTAATTTTTCATAGAGATAAGGGGAAAAGATAACTGCTTACAGAAATAACAAACCATAATAAACTGTACTTTTAACATCTTGAGTTCAAGTACTGGTCAACTTGATCTAAAGTGCTATAAGGCAGTTTTTTTTTTTTTTTAAATGAACTTAGCTGATCTGAAACATCTGTTTCTCACCCTCCCTTTTCCTGCTCTTCTCCCCCCTACTCTCCCTTGAACTTCAAAAATAATTAATAAAAATTATTCTGCCTTCATATTTGGTTAACCCTCGTTCTGCTAGGGTTACAACACAGGCAGCAAAGGTGCTTGTGGAAGGACCCAAAAGGTCACTGTATCACCGACTGCTCTGACAGTTTAAGTTAATTTCACTGCAATGTGGTTGAGTGTTTTTGGGGGGAGTTTTTTTTGTTTGTTTGAATATTTTTGCAGTAGCAGCATTTTTTTTTTTTTCGCAACAGCCATTCAAGGTGAATTCCTGTGCGCAACATGCTGTTAAAATAATCCCATAAGCCCATGGTTAATTTTACATAGGACAAACACTTCTGAAGAAATAAAAACGGCTTCCTTACATTTAGGAACCCCACCTGTCCAGCCTGCTGACCAGCGTCGGGGCAGACAAGTTGGACAAACTCTTTCAGAGTCTCCTGAGGATGATAGCGGATTGCTGGGTGTGAGAAGTATGGCCCAGGCTGTTGAATAATGGGTGATGTTGGAAAATGAAGAGTCGATGGTGTTGCATGTGGACTTGCTAAAGGAAAGAAAACAAAGACGTTATATAGAGTAGAGTTTTGCCTTCGGAAAATAAAACAGTTTAAATCTACTGTAATTTTAGTCTTTTTAAACGTACGGTATCGTTTATACCTCTGATCTTCACAATTGATATATTAGACCACATTGTGTCCTACACTCACTTCATCTAGGTCTTGAAGATAAATAGGGCCAGACATTTTAAAGGATTTTCTATGTTTTTAGTGGACATACATAAAGGATCCCGCAGTTCTTGGTGAAAGTGACAACTATTCATCACCTTAAGAGCAGTCCTAATGAATCAGGCAATAAAAAAATGTATTTGGGAGATTAGGGTTAAGTTCATTGACATTTCATTTAACTTGGATTTGCACATCTGAATCCATTTTTATATTGTGTTATAAATAGTTGATAATTTAAAGATGCTTGAACACTTCTTGGTGGGGTTTCTTCACCTCAGTTTAGGAACATTTATTTTAAGCAATATGATTTTATCTAATGAACATGCAGCAAGTGGTAAGATCGTTCTGAAAATTGCATTTACATTTCTCCAGAATAACGTTAGGTGCAACTCTTCAACAAGCCTCCAGCTCACATTCAGGGATGATGTTTAATTCGGTGAATTTATAGGCCAAGGAGCCCACAGTGAAAAAGCTAGCAGGAGGATGTGCAGTGAAGGTGTAATGTACACAAGCCCATTGGCAATGACAAATTTTACCCTCAGTTGATTTCAGCAGAACTGTACAAGCGCAACTGAAGACAGAATTGTGCCGTCCTACGTTACGTGACCCCTTTGTCCCGTTCCTTAGCATTCAAGTTATACCGAGTGAGACCCTTGCTAGCAAATAGTTGTGTCCACTGTAAGTTGTCACCATGAGGTAGCAATTGCCACCATTCATAATGCTATATATTCTCCCCTTCCCCTTTAAAATGTGAATTCACTCTTTCTCTAGAGTGGCCAGTTGATCTGGTTGAGCATAATAAGCTCGTCTTCATACTATAGTTTATCTCACACCAAAAAGGGATCGTTAAATCGCCGTTGTTCCCTTGCATGCTACTCCAAGAATCCTTCACGGGTGTCTATGTGCAAACACTACATTTGTACGCTACACGTAACTGATTAAATACAGGATGTGCAGGGCAGGTGATATCCCACAGAAAGTCATGTGTTGGCTTTGGAGTAATTAAATCTATGAGTGAAAAAGAAAGCCTTAGGCACTTTTGGAAAAATTGGAGAGATGCAGAAAAGTTAGCCAAAATCAAATAAGAATGAGCCGTCATTTAACAGGGAATGTTATCAGAAAGCCTCAATTAAACAAAAGCTGAAATCTATGTCTTAGTCTTGCTCACTGCCAGTTTAATAATATGACACTTTACACTAATGTTTTTTTTGGGGAAGCATTATTAAACCATTAACAAACTCAGAGCCTGAAGATGTGGATAAAGCATGCACCACAGGGACAGCAGCAAGCACAACTACTGCATTATCCTATGAACACTCATTAAGGGCTGACTGGGCAGCATTTATATGTACTTCTGTTTCCATGACTCCATATGAACAATTGCTTTGACATCACCACCAAAAAAAGCTCCACTCCTGCCTGGGGTGCTCTGCAGACCTGGCAACAGCATCACGAAAAGCACTATGAAAAAGAGCTATCACCATCCTGGTCATCATCCTACACAGGGCATCATTTCCAGGTAACAACTATTGGACAGTAGCAATTCTTAGTCCCTGCTGATATGGGATGAATATGAAGCTCTTGCCCTTGCTGCGAAAAGCCCCACTGTACCATCACCAAACCCATGAGCCCTCCCAGTCTGCTCCCCTTAATGCCAATTAGAATATTCACAACGGAAGGAGAAACACGTACTAAGTGTGTGGTGTGGACTGCGTCTCATGCAACAGGAAAATGTCACTAAAAGAAAGCATAGGGATGAAGAAGCAAAAGGTAGCATACAGCCTTCAACTCTCTATGGTCCAAGTAGATGTATATCCAGTGATATCCTTCCGATAGCATGGGCTACACCTGCACCGCAATAGCTAGATATTATGGGATGTGGACTCAACTGGAAAAAAAGGGTCTTCCCACAGCTATTCTAGCTCTGCAGCACTGCACTGCCAAAAAGGAGATATGAAGAAGCATATCCTATAGTCCTTCAGATGGAAATGCTTACAGTTCCTCTATGGCCAAGCAAATACATGTGAGCCTAGCCTGTCCAACCTGTCTGCACGTCTGTGCTTATCTCTTTCTTTCTTTCTTCTTCTTTTTCTTCTTCTTCTTCTTTTTTTCTCCCTACAAACGTAGGGAATTATTTCCTATTCATTTTAAGGGAGTCTTGTTCAGACTTTGCATCTTAAATTACTGTGTATTTGAAAACTCTTCTGATAAAGAACCCAAATCCTCAAAACAGAAAAAACAAAGACTGTTTTCCTGTCCCCAGCCTCCTGAGAGAGTCTGTATCTCCAAAGCATGCTAGAGAAGGTAGAAATAATATGGGATTCATCTTAGTAATTGGGGTGCCTATCATGAGGCTAATCTGAGTTAGTTATCCTGGGATCAATGGTGAGCTACTAGATAGAACTGATGGAGTCTAAGGAGTCATTTATCTCATGCAAAAATAGACCACCACATCTGGATAGATCAATCACCCCTTTAACTTCATCGACAATATTGACTGGCTCACCAGTGGATATGAAGGGATCCCATGGTTACTAGCTCAGGTGGAGACACCTCCAGTGTAAATCAGCACCCACCTTTAGTTAGATGATTTCCACCAAAGTGTCAGCCTCTCCTCTCACTTTCACCATTCCTGTATCCGTGTAGCTTCATTAATGCCACTTATGTCATAACTAATTTGCATATATGAATGTATCACTACCTTCTCCCTGAATTAACAGCAATTTTAGAGCTTGTCAAAATATTTTGCCAAGAATGTTTATTCAATAAAAACTGGTGGTATGAATTTTGATGACTGTGAAAAAATTTTTATCAGGATACAACATTTCTATTCTTTTGTTGATATAAAATGTATTTTTTCTCTCTTCCCTCTTTTGTTCCTTTATGTTTTCTTTTCTATTTCCCCCCTTTCTTGTGTGCCAAAAGAAAGATGAAGGATGAAGAAAAAAGTGAGAAATGAAAGTTTCTGTGGAAAACAATGAATTAAGTGAAAAATATATTGGGAATTTTTTAAACATTTATTATCAAAGTTTCATTTTAGCACAAACTCTGTTAACACTGTTTGAAATTGTTGTGTCAGTGCACTATCCTATATACACATCTGGGAACAAATTCATTCCCTTTCCTCCTCTGGGTGGAAAAAGAGACAGAGATGCTACCTCAATAAAACAACAAGGAATAAAAAATTGTAGTCGGAGAACGCGTGGAAAATCAAAACTGGGCTGGAGTCCCCCCTGCATTTAGCTCTTCCAAGGTACGTGTCTACATATAAGTTGGATTGCTATATCCAAGATGTGTTATGGCTATCAGAAATATTTATAGGCTTGTAAGCGCAGGGTCATTCTGTGTTGCCTTTGACCTCCTCAGCATGTCAGAAGAGAAAACAAATTGGAAAGCATTTGTCAGTGATCTTCCCAAGAAGAGAGTTTTGTATGAGAGAGAAGAGAAAAATGGATGCAGAAACGATAAAGAATAATTCAGGGAGGAAGGTATCCTGCTGCAAGAAGGAGAGAGGGCTTCCTCTCCTGAGCCTTGGCTGGCTCCTCGGCACAGATCCAAGGGCTTCCTGCCGATCACGAGAAAGCCTACAGGAAGGAAACAAGACTGTCGTCAGCCCTCCCGTCTGTGCCATATACTAGCACGAAGGCTTGCGTTTTCTCAGAGTAGGTGGATTAACATAAGAAGTAAGGAATGGTACAGAGATCTTCCAAAGGTTTGTTTTTGCAGCCTCTCACTGGCAAATATCAAACCTCTCACGTGGCAAGAGGAAGGGCTGTTGGTAAGAGGGAGACACTATTACTGTTAAAACTGATGAACATTACAAGTGTGCATGCCATACACCAGAGAGAGTAAATTAAGTGCTAAAGCCTAAGAATTGCCAGCCCAGATATAGACCGTTAGCCTGATAGCTGTGCTGTTGCCACTAACTCCAGTGGATACAGAAACAGCCTTTCTGATGATGGAGAGACCAGAGACCTCACTCGGCAAACAAGTTCTGGGTGCAGAACGCAACCGTTGTTTCCAAATGTAGGAATCCTCCCAAACGTTTTTAAATCAATTAAAGTCTACCAATCAATTGAGACTTCCAATTCCGGTTGCTACTTCCCCTTGCTTCTCCTGAAGTAGTCCACAAAAATTCACATTTTCCTCTTGTTTCCTGCTGTTTGAACCATATCACCTGACTCTTCATAAGGGAATTCCATATAAATCTTTTCAGCCTCTCTGTATTTTCCCTGAAGCACAAATTTAGCCAGGTATTCTGCTTTGCATCCTGGACAGGATTTTAATTGCCTCTTTTCTATAAACCATCATATAGGTTCACCCACATTGGTCAGGGACTTAGATTCCTTTCGTTATAATTGTGGCTTTTGGCATCAGCTTTTTAGATTGGTTCCTAATTCTGTGGGAGGATCTCAAGAAATGTAAGCATTAAAGCAATGCCAACAGTAAAACCTGATCTGCTTTCAGGTGTGGCATGCTTTTAACTAATGTTACAAAAACACCGCCACAGCATGAAACATCACAGCTTCATCTTTTAGATGCAAGCTATTAAACAGTGATAACCGAGTGGCAACAAGTGAAATTCCTAAATCTTCTGCTTACCCTAATAACGATACTTCTCAAGTCAGAAACCTGGAACTTATTAACATGATCCACAGGATGTTAATGACCGCAAGTAAAATCCTCATTTCCAGGGAACTTTTTATCTATCTAACCTTTCTGAAAACTGTCTACCCAAGCAAACTAGATCGGTTCAAGTGACAGACCCCACTTCTTAACTGCAGTATCACCTCTGTGTTAGAATAAAAGCACGCTAGTC